TCGTAGTCCTCCGACTTTCACTGGTCAATCGGACCCGACTGTTTTGGGAGAATGATTGGATCGTTTGAAGACGATATTTTTGAGGTCGTGAGATGCTTAGAATGAGAGAAGACTATGATAGCCGTGGAGGAGGAATTCACGCGTTTTAATGAGTTGGCTGTCTATGCTCCGGATTTGACGGCGAATAATCGATGCAAGTTGATGAGATTTGTGGGCGGACTAAACCGGGACCTTCAACGGTTCTTGGCCGACTTCAGTGTGATGACTCTTCAAAAAGCATACGAGAAAGCGGCTAACATCTATCGGGCAAATCGGATATCGTATGATGAGCAGAGAGATGGAATCCGCAGGGTAAATAGAGGAAAAGGAATGGTGAATGAGGGGTTGAAGAACCAGCTAGAGGATCAATCGGAGAGGTTCCCGGGTACGCCTTATGCATCTCGCCCTAAATTTACCCCTGGGAATTTGAGTGACAATCATGGCGGTCCGACTATTTGTAGCCGATGTGGAAAGTCTTATTCGGGAGTTCGTTGTGATGGCTAGTCCGTCACTTTCTATTACTTCCATAAGTCGGGACATATCAAGAGGTTTTGTTCCAAGTTAGTTGGAGCTCCGAATGAGATTGAGAGGGCTCCGATTCCACAGCAGTAAGGTCATATGCCACCAGTGGCACCTCAGTGTGCGAGAGGAGGAATGAGTGGCCAAAGAGATCATGTCAATGTCATGACGAGAGGGCAAGCTGTGGAAAACTAGGGAGACGTCCTGACCAGTATGTTTTTGGTGAATTCTTTGGTTGTAGTTAGTCCCTTTGATTCCGGTGCATCCCTTTCTTTCATATCAAATAGATGTGCTAAGAAGCTGGAATTAGATTCTCAAATAGAGGTTTCAGTAGAGATTAGGCTACCTTTGGGAGAGCTAGTGCCTCATCATTGTCTTTTTGTAGGAGTGCCTGTCATGATCGGAGACGTAGAATTTCCTACTAATCTTTTGAAGTTTAAATTGGCGGAGTTGTTTGAGAAAGCTCCGGGCGTACAGATCGATTCGAGGACGAAATGTCCTAAGTAGGGGAGAATGCAATACCCCGTAAAAATAATTTCCAAAAGTTTGCCAGAACTTGCAAGAATCCGATGCCGGAGTCGGGCAATTTCATTTTGGACTTATTTTGTTTTGGGCTTTTGATGTAAGTAATTAAGAAATTTGGTCAAAATTGGGAGTAAAATTGAATTTAGACCATTTTGGGCCCAAGTAGGGTAAAATAAATAATAAAGGCCCAAGTCTATGTTTAATAAAAAAGAAAAATAGAGAGGAAGCAGCTAACAGACTAAAGAGTTGTGGGCCGTTTGGCGCCCCTCGCAAACTAATAAACAAATTGACTTGCGTGTACATTTGGACTTTGAACCCTTATGTACATATTGTGGAGCTTTTCTTTAGGGTTGTGACCCTATGTTTGTTATGTGTAACTATATGATGTGTCATACGAAGTAATAAGGTTGAAAAACCGGGTCGAGCCGGCCCTAATTAAGACCTAGTGGAGTTTCCTTCGTGATGTGTTCATCACAATTACATGAGAATAAAAGGGAAACATAAGGGAGGCGCTAAAAGACTCGTGTGTGTGAGTTATCCTTATGTGATATGTATATCTTATTCAAATTATCTTCTTCAAATGATTTTGTAGCATTTACACGTGAATCATGACTTATACCATATTAATTTATCTTTGATTAATTGTGCTTACTCAACCGTCGTGTTGACCCTCTTTCTACAAACTTTTGTAGGTGATGGTGCTTCTATTATACCTAAATGATGCATCCACGCCATATGATCCATCGGGGGGAACTCGAATTACTTTTATCTTCTAAAATGTTCTTGAAATCCATTATTGTTTAAGAACTAATGCTTTTTGAACTAATTTCGACTTATGTTTTTTACTTGAACTTAACTTATTTAATTTATAAGTCGGTGTGCTTTAATTCTAAATCCCTATTTAGTTGTTTGTATTCATTATTTTAGCCTTAGTGCCACAACGTAGAGCTTGTTGGTTGATGAACGAGCCTTCCGGTGTGGCGTGGCGGTGACACTCCAGTTTGAGTCGGTCAGGGTGTTACAGAACTCCTGGGTGAAACTCCCCACATCGGCTACAACTAGTTGGACCGACATGACTCCTACTCAAATTCTCAAAAGTGAATCTAAGATGAGATGCATATGGCACAACCAAGAAGTTTTCCGATTGATTCTTCCACGGATGCTTCTTCCATCCCTTCTTCACTTTCTCATTTTCTTTATCTGCCCCGCAGATTTCATCCCTCCGCTCATCATAAGATATCTGATTCGCCCAATAGATATTAGTCACCTTCTTATAAGCCTCCAGAAGAGTCGTCACACTAAAGTTGGCTGGTTCAATCCTCTAACAAATCTCGTCAACTTATAACGATAATTCGCTGTTAAATCCGAAGCATAGGCAACCAATTCATTAAAATGAATAAAATGCTCCTCCACCATCATACTACCCTACCCCAAGGCACTAAACTGATCCTCCTTCGCTCTATGAAGGTTTGTGTGATAAAAGTGCATCATTATTTTCCCTTTAAAGGTCTCCCACGGTAATCCAACAAAGTTGCTCCTAAAAACTCTCATTATTCCACTATTTTTTGGCCAACTCTTCTAAGTAATACACGGTAATCATAGTTTTCTCTCATTCCGGACATCTCACCACCTCAACTATCGTCTTTAATAGATCCAACCATTATCCTTAAACCTTCGGGTCCGACTGACTAGTAAAAGTCGAAAGACTATGGCATAACACAGCATCCATAGCACTCCTAGACCGCTGAGCAAACTGTCTCATGAACTAACGAAGAAACTCAAATGTCGGATCTGAAGGTCAAATGAGATCCTGAACTGGAGGCTCGGAGTTCGGGGATTGCCTACTCTCAACTTCTTCGTAAGACTCAAGTGTCATAGAGGGCTGACGAACACGCCTAGGGGGCATACGCTAATCAAGACTAGACCCAACAAGATTCAACAAACCCTAACTAATCATCTAACATAACCAATACGTATAAGCACAAGGAATAAACATAAAATGTAATGCATGTCATGAATGCACCCAAGTCCAACTAAATCCACGATCTAATTGATTTTAGAAATTTTTTAAATTTTTCAAATTTTATTAACCAATGAGTACGAGCCTTTAACCTAGGCTCTAATACCAATTGTAACACTTTGGTTGGCTCAAGCCGGAGTATCACCGTCACGCCACATCGAAAGATTTGTTCATTAACCAATGAACCTCACGTTGTAGCGCAAAAGCTAAATTACCCAACACAAGCAACTAAATAGAAACTTAAAAGATTAAGTACATCGACTTATCATATAAATAAATAAGGTTTGAGTAAAAAACATAAACCGGAAATCAGTTCAAAAAGCATTAAGCCTAAGAGGTGGAAGCCTAAGCCTTATCATCCCATACAATCGACAAGTTGATTGGACTCGATAAGTAGTTTCAATTAAGAGTTTGACTCAATACTCAACGAGCAATTAGGCAAATCTTAGGACTTTAACTCAAACATCTCATTTACAAATATTTAACCAACTAGCCAATAAAAGCATAGGCTAATATATCATGCTTTGCAATATAGACAGAAGCTAAACTACTATTCTCAAATTAGCTTAGAAAATATTTTTCATCCAACAATATCTTTATTTGACAACTAAAGCAAGAATGAAAATATAAAATTTAAACAAGTTCATTAAAATCCTATGTTATTTTGCCAAGCAACTATTTGGAAAATGTCCATTAAGAAAAATATATTAACTCCAAAATTCATAATATTTAAAAATAATCACAAACTCTTCTTCAAAAATCATAAACTAGGTTAGGCCAAAATTAGAATTTCTAACACATTTCACATATCCTTCATTTTTCAACTTAAACCACCGTATTAATCTCCATATAAGTCCTAAAGAACATGTTAATCAACTTTCTAAAAGGAAAATAGCAAAACTAAACATTTCATGCCTCATTGATTGAGATTGTGATTGAAAGTTTAGTTTCCTTGTTTGGAATGAAATATTATTAGGTTAATGGTTGGGTTACGACATAGTATGTATTTGATTAAAAATAAATTTAAAATGTATATTGAAGTGTTTTAAAAATTATATTTCATTAAATATATTTAATATGAATATCATTTTATAAAAAATAAAATCATATATAAGACAAATCATAGAAATATATTTTTTTATTTAAGAGAGATAGAAATAAGATATTATAAGAGGGTCCCACCTTGAAAAGTTTTGGAAAGTAATGGAGATAGAAAAGAAGTTGAGAAGATAGCACCACCCAACTAATAACCAAACACACAATAAATTTGTATGATGAATGATGCTTAGTACTAGAAGGCATTAACCCATGCCAGCATTAATTAGAGTCAAATCAGAAAGAAAACTTATGTGTATGCATTCGAGATATTTATCCTTACATAAAAAGTATCATATAAAATTAACACAAGACAGAATATAACTAGGAAGTGGGAAAATGTAAAGTTGATATCATATATTTATTAGATATTACTACTTTTTTCTTAGAACATCTTTTCTCCATGCAGTAGCAACTGGAGCTAACTAATGTATGATACTAAATTTCACCAGCTCAATGCAGATAGCCAGATATATAAATTAGAAAATTATATTTGTCAACAAATAACAAAACTGGGGTATACATTGAGTTATTTTCACAATGTTAGCATCTTTGACATTATATAAATGCATTCAACTGCAGATTGTGGTTATAATGAACACAAAACCAGTAGTGCCAAACAAATTGGTGGAAAAATCATAGATGGCAATTTAGTCATAGGAACTTCAACATCACTTAGACATAACATAATTTAGTCAGCAAACAAAAACATGGCTGCGCACAACCAAGATTGATTTTAAGAAACTCTGTTTGCCGAGTAAATAGACAATGGAAAATCAAAGATGGCAATAACTGTTAATACCAGTAATGCAGGCACTGTATTTGTCAACCACAATGATGGATCAACACTCCTAACATCTCGAGCTCAGAGGCCTGTAAAAATTATGTCAGTGGATAGAAACAACTATATTATACAAGAAATCAAAGATTTAACGAAAACCCCATAAAATACATCATAAAAGTGGGTATAAGAAATAAAGAGGATTGATACTTCGTAAGTGATTATGTCAAGTAACCTTCAACTCACTCAGAATTTACAGATGCTAGTAACATATGAAAAAATTTAACAAGGAATTTGATGAATTAGCTTATCGTTTAATGTTGCAGAATCATAACTTGATTGAAAGATTGTAAGTTAATTGCATATTGATATTTTCATCAATGTGTACAAGTGACTCTAGAAAAACTTCTACTCACCACTAGATTTTAACAAGTGTCGCCTGTTAATTTTCCGGCTAGATACCATCCCGTTAGATCTGACTTCTACAACCTGTGGATGGGATATAAACATACATTAAGACGTGTATAGATTTGCAAACTAGTCATTTTAGACATATAATCTGCTAAGTCCAGACTTTGGTTCTATTTTATAAATGTATCTTCAGACAATAAGGCTCTCTTTACATAATCCACTTTTGAAATTCTTCATACTACTCAACAAAGTAAATTTTTCAAAAATATCACATCAAATAAATTTTTCCTCTAACAAGCAATTACAATCAAATAAATTATTTACTATTACCAATTATTTTTTTAACTCAAATCTTCCAAAACCTCAATCCAACCATACCTAAATCAATTGAGTCTTAATAAATAAATAAATTTGGTTCCAACCAAGAGTTGTACATGCCATCATACATATATGACAATCTCGCTTACAGCATCCTTTCACTTAAAACCTTGTTTACATAAACAGAATCATTTTTAAATCCTCCATAGTTAACACACCCTCCATCGAATCATCAGAAATCACAGTCATTATCTGAAGCAATCAGCCATCCAAACTGAAAAAGTAAATTAGAAAACAGAAATCAATTAATTCGAGTAAACAACCTCGTAAACTGGCTCGCGAATCCCCAGCGACAGAGAATCCCTGGAGGCGGAACTCCCCTGGGAAGTAGCAGAACCGTTGGTCAACTTTCCCCCAACCTCCTCCTCGAACTCCACTTCGCTCACATTCCCATCATCCCCTTTTTTATCCAACACAGCATCCCCCGCGCCATCTCTCTCCCCAAAACACTTTATCCCAGCCCCCTCCCCCGCAACCCCCCAGAGAGCGTCGTCCCATCCCCATCTCCGCTGCTGCTGCAACGATGAAAATCCGGAAAACTCTGCGTTTAGATAGAGTGATTTCACTGGCTTCGCACTGTGGGCTCTGGAGAGTCCCGCCCAATTCCATTCCAATATAATAATGAGTGGAACCCACCATTATAATATATTTAATAATATAATATTATACTCCTTATTTCTCTCGACTCAAAATATATTTTTTTAGTGTTTATGGTAAACATAATCACATACAAATATTAAAATTTTTTTATTTTTTATTTGAATTTCAAATATATCATTATATATAAAAAAAAAAACAAAAACAAAAATATCAAAAATTTCTTACAAATTTTCATTAATTAACAAAGTATTATTATTTCTCAATCTATTGTAGAACCAAAATGGTCCTTTAGACATGGACAGATGGAGTATACAATATACTCTCTCCATTTCGGCTACAATCTCTCCTTTACTATAGACATGAGTAAAAATAATTATTGTACAACAAAAATAATTTTAGATTAACATTTAAAATGAAATTATATTTTAATTTTAAAGCAAAAAAATTTAAAATAAAATCAAAGCGTATAATCTTTTTTAAAAAAATGACAAAATAAATAAGTGGGACGGATGGACTAATATAATAAATATATATGTAAAAGATGGACAGAAACATTATTTTATTTTTACTTAAAAGATCATATAAATAAAAATAGTGTTTAATAAATAACTAATAGATCCAATATAATCAAAATGTATTAATTTTTGTTGCAATATAAAAATTTCATCAAATTTTGGTCTTATTATAATCAATTTCAGTCCCACAATTATAAAAATCAATAAAAACGGTTGATATGAAAATAACAAAATAGACGTGATAAACGACCTAGAATAAATATGGTTGTTTACAATACAACACACTACACACTTGTGTTTATCACAGTCAGCAACTGTCCAATAAAAAAACACAGTCGTATTAAATTGTGCACAGACGAGTATATACTTTTGGCCATGTATTGAGATGGTGTACGTACACGGCCATGTATATCCCTGATTGGTCATAAATTTATTCTCCAAAAGATCTTTCACTTTTTCCATTCCAATTCCAAATGTAGTCTATATCTGGCTATCAATGTATTATGTCTCGCCTCTTTATCAAGAAAGAAACCTTCCATTCGTACACACAGAGATAATTTAAAAGCTCCGTGCATTTCTGCAAATTCTTTCTTTCTTTATTATTCCTTTTTTTTTGGAGTTACATTGGATGAGCTAGCTTCTTCAACCAGTAAGGAATTTCCATTAAGAAAATCTTTAATTCATTAATGTTTATCAAACATTAATATTATTGTTTGTTTGTGTGTCATCGGTCACTTTCGAAAAACAGCCAAAAAAGAATTTTGGTAATAACCGTAAAAGCCTTTTCTACAACTTGAAATCAAGAAATGTCTTTTTATAATTAATTCTTCTTCATCTCCCCAAAAGATCCTTCACTTTTTCCACTTCAATCCCCAATATCATCTTTATCTGCCTATGAACGGCCAGTTACGTTTACATGTACACACCGTGTACGTACACCATCTTGGTACATGACCGTAAGAATATACATGACCGTGTACAATTTAACATGGTCGTACTTTTTGACCGGGCAGTTGTTGATTGTGATAAATATGGGTGTGTTGTATTGTACACAGCCGTGTTCATTCCAGGTCATCTGCCATGTCGACTTCGTTACATCCACGTCAACAATTTTCGTTGGTTTTATAATGGTGGGACTGAAACTAATTAAAATCGGTTATAATTGGACCAAAATTGATTTTTCCTTTAGATAAATTATCATTAATAAAAATCTATTCAAAATATTTAAAAAATATGAATAATAATTATAATTTTGAAAATTTAAAAAATATATATATAAATAATGGGACATAGATTGTCATCTTATATATTATATATAGATAAGTGGAAAAGATCTAATTTTAATATTGTGAGTAATATTTATATTATTTTTTTTTTAGTGCTTTATTAAAAATACGATTGTATCCCTACAAAAATACTCAACACAGATCCAGCCTAATAATTCAACAAAGAAAGAGCATATCCAACCCAAAATGTATGATTCGGCCCAGTTTCGGAAGGCCTATACCAAATTCAAAAGGGAATGTACGTAGTTAAATTTTTATACAAACTTAGTTAAAGAAAGACGGAATCATGGGCAAAGTAATTTTTCCACGTGATAATGTGTGGAATTATAGGGAAGTTGCCACACTCAAGGGATATAAATTAGGGAAGACAATTATCCAAATGGGAGATCCAATCCATCAAAACGGATACGTCACTTATTTCTTGTTGCATAATTTTTTTTCGTGTCTTTATTTCCTTGCAATTTTAATGTTTTAGTTAATAAAAGTTTATTTCTATTGTTTTTCTTGCTTTTATTTTCATCTGTATGGTTAGATTTAGTTCGATTTCATCGCATGAGATCAGCTCCCAACCAATCTATTGCGATCGATCTTACCCAGATCTATTCGTGCATCAATTTTTAGAGCGAGACCAGCCGAAATCATTTTTGAAGAGATTGAGGAACCCAACCAACGTCAATTTTGATAGGCCCAAATTTATTAGGTTGTCATCAACAAATTTCGGCTATAACAGATTGGAGCGTCTGGTGGGAGACCAATACGTCTTGTTACGTTAATGCAACTCTGCAACCAGAAATTGAGATCGCCATCAATGATGTCTAAGGATTAAATAAAAATTCTGGGAGAGAGCTCGGCGCAAAAAAAAACACAAGAAAAATTGTGCGCTGAAAATCGCCAAGAGCCTTTAGGAGGAACGACCAACTTGTCACTCGCCCGGGCAACGTGCAACAAGACCAAATTCGAGGATAAATTAAAGCATCATTGCATGGTCAGCGTTTTAAATATCTCTCTACCTCACAGACATTCTTAAGCAAACAATCTGCAACGAGATCACATGGCTCATAAATGAGGAGAATTGGAAAGAGAAGACACATGCAACCAACTCCGATTAGGAATATCTTGGCTTTGGCGTAGGCGTTTTCTAGTACTACTATTGATTCCTCTGCCACTCCACTCTAATACGGTTAAGTGACTATTTTAAACAAAAAAAGATGGATCCAATAAACCTCCATCCGATGTTTAGATGATCGGAGAACCGAAACTACCTTTGGGGCAAGCCTCCACGGGGCCGTCGTTGATTGTGGAAATTGGAGAAAGTGTGGAAATCATTCCTTTAGCACTGCAATGGCATACCAATCCTCTCTTCAGTGGAATGGCACCTTAAACATTTGTTGTCTATCCGAACATCCAATGGGGCAGAGAGTGTCCAAAGCTTAGGGACATGGACAACAGCCTTCCTGAACGCATCATTCATCCTAGAACCTCTTAGTATGGCCTAAACCTCGGGTACAGTAGCTCTGGCCGCACCCTATTGCACTGGGGGGCATCGAACGACTCCGGAAGTTGCCCCTTATTAAGCTCTCGGGATGTACCAAGGCCATTGCTTCCCTGCATGAACGAAGATAATTCAATATGGAAATTTTCTAATTCAGCTGCAATTTGCACCAAGATGAGCTACATAAAGTACTTAGCCACATATCCTACATCGGGGACCTACCCAGTAGCTCTTTCAACAGCCTGCTTGCCCTTAACCGCCTGTCCAGATGATTTTGAAGCTCTTCGGGGGAGGGGGCAATGAGAGGTAGCACAACCACCGCATTAACCCGCAAGTGATCAAAAAATAATTCCGACATCTTTATGGCAAGCTGATTTGAATCCCGGCAAGGTTCAACTACCAAAGACTTTTTTCGATTTTTTGATTGCATGAGTGTCATTCAACCAACCACTTGTCCAAATGATTTTGGAGCTCTTCGAGGGAGGGGGCAATAGGAGGTAGCACAACCACCGCATTAACCCGCCGGTAATCTAAAAAATAATTCCAACGTCTCTATGGCAATCTGATTCGAATCCCGGAAAAGTTCAACTACCAAAGACTTTTTATGATTTTTTGATTGCATGAGTGACATTCAACCTCAATTAGAAATTCCATCATGAAGAACACTTGTTAGGAAGTTCATTAAGATCTTTGAATATAAGAAGTTGAAGAGTTTTTTCAAGAATTACAATGGTAGTGTTTGCCTCACAACAGATATTTGGACATCTTGTTAAAATATGAGTTACATGTCATTAACTATGCATTTTATTGATTATGAGTAGAATTTGCGCAAAAAAAAAAATTTGAATTTCTCTCCAATTTTTGGTCACTCATGTTATGCAATTGAAAAGAAAATTGAAGATCGTTTGGTAGCATGGACGATTAAAAACATTTTTAATGTAACGGTTGATAATGCAAATACGAATGATGTTAACTTGAGATGGCTGAAAGATAGATTGAAAAAATGTAAAGAAGTGGTTTTAGATGGAAAGCTTTTACACATGAGATGTGGTGCATATATCTTGAATCTCATTGTTAATGATGATTGAATAAAATAAATGGTTCAATAGAACGAATCCAATATGCTATTCTTTATGAGAGATCTTCTTCCAACCGAAGATAATCATTCAAAAAGTTGATGGAAAAACAACAATTGAATACAAATGCTATTGTTTCTTTGGATGTGAAAGAAGATGAAGTTCAACATATAAAATATCAAATGTTTCCTTAAAAGTAATAGATGCATTTAATTTATTGGAACGTGAAGATAAAAAAATATAAGGAAAAGTTGAAAAAAATAAAAAAGTGCCACCCACATAAGATGATTGGTCATATGCATGTAGATTTATTTCCTTTTTGAAATGTTTTTCTAACATAACTGTAAAAATCTCGGGATCCAAGTATGCAACTAGAAATTTAAACATGAAAGACATTTTTTTTGTTGCATATAATATACAATCAATGATGGAAGATCTGAATTCATTGGTTAGATTGATGGTTTCCAAAATGTTTTCAAAGCTTTTCAAGTATTGGGGGGATTGAAAGAATGTCAATCAAATTATTTATCTTTAAGACCTTTCTTGATTCTCACCATAAAATACGTTGGGTAAATTTTATGATCACTAACGTGTATAGAGAGAGTCGAGAAAAAGAATTGCAATCAATTTAGAATATTGTGAGAATAATGTTTTATGAATATAACTCAACTACAATATCCAACATTGAAATGGATTCATCTAGCCAAGCTCACTCTATTAGCGCAACACATTTTTTCCCAAATTGATGATTTTAAGAAAACAAATTGGAGAAAACATTGGAAGGATTTGAAGTAATTGAAGTGCATGGGGCATTGAAGTTGGAAATGGATAAGTATTTGGATGATGAATGTAAAAACATGACCCAATTGAAGTTTGATATCTTATATTGGTGGAAACCAATATGATCAAAATATCCAACACTTTCTCTCGAATAGCGAAAGATGTATTAGTTATTCCGGTATCCACGGTTGCTTCAAAATATGCTTTTCGTATTGGAGTGCTTGTTATAGATCACTTCCGGTGTTCTCTTACACCAAAGTTGGTCAAAGCACTCATATATATACAAGATTGGATTCGAATGGGTAATTCACAAATAGTGGATGAAGAAGAATGCAAAGATTTTGAAAAAAATAGAATCTAATTATTTTTTAAAACCATATACTAATACTACATATACATACATATATAAACCATCATCTTCGTCTATTGTTGTTGTATCATGTATGCATGTATTCTACTATATAATTCAACTTAATTATAACTATAACATATATTTTGTTTGTTGACTTTTTTATAGCATGGAAAACACATATCTTGATTTGGAGGAATAGCACAGAGGTAACCAAATAATTATTCATGCCAATTATTTTCCTACATATTAATTAATTTGGTACATTAAAAAGTAGTAGTTTGTCAATGAATAATTGAATATTGATTATTGTCTATAATTATCGATTATATATAATTCAATATATTTTATGATCATTTGATAAAATAGATGAGTGGAGAACTTTAAATAAAAATGGCATTACGGAATCAAAAAGATGTATCGACAATCATTATGGATATTCGCTTTAAATGATTTCATAACTTATGAATATTTTTTTTAATGACATTATGGATATGCATGAGTTTAGGATCTTCGTATAGATGTATGAATTTAAATTTTGATATGCTTGTATTTACACCTTCATTGCCTTATTTTTAGATAATTGGGTGTATGATTTGGATTATGCATGCATGTTGTTTAGGGATATGAATTTTTATAGCATTATGGATGTTTTTTAATGTCATTATGTTTTAACATTTGATGATTTGCATGTATTTTGAATATATTTAGTTGTTTCTTGAATATATTTATTTTAGGATTAATTTTGGTTCAATTTAAAATATTTGTAAATACTTAATTGAAATTTTAATATATTTGTTTTTCAATTTAGTACAGTTCAAAATTATTTGCAAATATTGTATATATTTTCGGTTAATCGAAGATTTTGGTTCGAATACAATTCACAATTTTGAATCTTTTTTTGGTTTGATTCAAATATCAAATACTTGTGTATTTGCAAATATCCGAACTTTGTGCACCCTTAGGTGAGGCAGTTATATGAGGAAAGAAGAATGAGGAACGATGGCCCCATTTTCAAACACAATTTTAATATGTGAATATAAATAAATAAATAAATAGATTTTAGTTGTAGAAATTAATATTAGTATTAGAGGGAGTTTGGTACACATAATGGAATTATAGAAAAATAAAAATAGAGAATAAAATTGCAGAAAATGAGAATTAATTCTTTTATTTGATAAAGTAAATGATTCAGTTGAGAAATATTAAAAAATATATATACAGCGATCTGGATAAATTAGTCAAGAAGAAGTAATTAAACGGGTTAGAGAGAATTTTAATAAGAGGGAATCCATGAAAAATATTTTAAAAAGTTTTTTGTTTGACTGATAAATTAGATGCGATGTTTTGTAAGATTAAATTTTAGTGTATTTTTTAAAAAATTATAAAAAAAAACTAAATAATTGAATGATAAAATATATGTGATGTTTTATAAGAGTGAAAAAAATATAGTTTTTGAAAAAATTCTAAAAATTAAAGGTAAAATTATTCACAATTTCCTTGTGGTTTCGAAATTTAGTCTAAATTTCTCATGTACTTTAAAAATTGCATGATACACCTTTATACTTTAAAAAATGTTGCATGAAATCCCTTTCACATTTTTTGTGTGATGAGAAAATGCTTTCACATCTATAATTTTTCATGATAGGGGGTTTCATGTAATATTTTTTTTAATAGTATAAGGGGACGCCATGTAAGTTTTAAAGTATAAGGGAATTTACACTAAATTTTGAAATCACAAAGAAGTTGTATGCAATTTTTCCAAAATTAAATAATACATTTTTTTTTTAAAAAAAAGGCAAAATAGCCTAAAATCCCCCTGTGGTTTCCGAAACTTGCTAAAAACCTCGCATGGTCCTAAAATTTCGTAAAATCTACTAGTGGTCCCAAAAATATGGTAAAAAGTATTCCCACTGTCAATATTTAATGGAGATTGAGGAGTGTACACTTTAAGTGCAAGTATTTTTATAAATTCACATATAACAGAAAAGAAAATTACATAAAAACTCTTTCCTAACAATCATCTTCTTCACCTACCTCAATAAGGCCGCAATCCTGGTTCTTCCCTAATTTCTTCCTCAATTTAAACTAGGCCTTGAAGCAGCAGCACCACCACCAATTATGCATTACGTTATCGAGGTACGTCTTCTCTTTATCCTTAGCGTCGGAGAAGATAAGGTTTTGTGTTGGCCAAAACTCATCCCCTTTCTTTTATTTGGAGGGGTTGACGAAGGCAGCAGGGTTTCTTTGTAGAGAGAAAAAGGATCCGCTCTTCACCATCACCTGAGAAATTGTGATTGGAATTGGTTCCCAAAGTTGTTCACAGCCTGAAATCGGCTACATTTGGGACGTTGTAGGAGTTTGACATCTATCGGGCTTGTTTAGAGTAGTTCATTGTTGTTGTCCAAGGAAGAACAACCTCCGTGTTGTTGCCGAAGAATAGAGTTCATAGCCAGTGCCCAAAAGTGCGGCCGTTGTCTGGAGTCGCCTCTGCTGGTCGAATCTCCAATCGTCAATGGCTCAATTTCTTCTCAAATTAATTTGGGAATTTGCATATTCGTTTCAACACCACAATCAGGAAGAACTTTGCTTTGCTTTAATTTTATTTTATAATCTGTCTGTTTTTGTTTTGTTTTCTCTTTTCCAGACTTAGTTTGTCTTAGTTTTGATATACCTAATTTTAATTTTGGTTTAATTAATTTTGGGTTTTATTTTGAATTCACATCCGCTCATATTCAAATTTTTGTTTATGAAGTTTGTTTAATAAATTCATTGATCCGGAATGTAAAAAAAAAAAAAATCAGTTGTTTTTTTGTTCCCAATCGATCTACCAAAGTCTAAAAATCTCATAAAAGAAATGAAATTTGATTCCCTCAAAACCCAAAGCAATGAAATTTAACTGCCCCAAGTCTTATGCAATACCCAGAAAATAAGAAGAATGAACAATCAAAATTGGGTGGTTGGTATTGTTTGAATATTCAGATATGTATATATATACACAAAAAGAGGGGCAGATGGGAAAGCGGATGGTGTTGTGGATGGTCTATGGTAGGCAGCCACGTTGAGCCGTCTAAAAGATTTTGGATTTTTCGGTGAGCACATCAGCATTGGCACGAGTGACATCGTCTGATAGAGCATCGGCCGGACAATTGTGCGAGCAGCGGTGTCGGATCAAAGCATCGGGGGTCGGGTCTGGTTCGGGAGTAATTTCGAAGAGGTAAAGTGTTTTTTTAGAAATATGGCTCAACCAATTATAAAGCCCACAACTCTTAATCTCCTAAAAGCTCTAAAAAAAAAACAAGTAAGCCCCAACCAAAATACTATTTGTGAATTTTTGGTGTATCATAAAAATCCAACCTAAAGCTACCAATTTATAGAGAGAGGCTTATAGATAATTTGTCACCACAAGTAATGTCGAACAACACTTTCTCTCAACTTTAAAATACTCAGATGTAGGACAAAGGCACATAAAAAATCTCCACCTTGGCGTGTCCAATATTAACAAAATAGCGAGCTTGCTCCACTTTCTCCACGAAAGCCCCACCGGGCTAAATCACCAACACTGAACTCCAATCCAACTAACACTATTTGAACTTGAGAATTGGAAGGGATTTTGTAAACATATCAGCAGGATTCTCCTTTGTATCAATTTTCTGAACGCAAACATTCTCTTCAGCAATGATATCTTGGATTAAGTGATACTTCACATATGTGCTTCGTTCTTTCTTGATGCCTTTGGTCTTTAGTCAAGTGTATCGCACTTTGACTGTCACAATGAATAACAATAGTACTCTGATGTAGACTAAGCTCGCCCAAAAGATCTTTCAACCATAAAGCTTCTTTAATTGCCTTTTTCAATGCCATATATTCTGCATGTGTATTAGGCAATGCTACAACTGATTGTAATGATGCTTTTAAGCTAACTGCACAACCTTCAATGCAAAATACATAGCCTGAGAGAGATCTTCTTCTATCGAGATTTTCAGCATAATCAGAATGTACATATTCAATTAGAGAGCTACTATTTCTTCCAAACTCCAAACAGACATTCGAAGTACCTTGTAAGTATCTCATAATCCACTTCACAACCTGCCAATGTGCTTATCCAGGACAACACAATACATATACCTACTAACAACACTGACTGCCTGCAGAATATCTAGGCCGGTGCATACTATTGCCCAATGCATTTGAATAAGGAAACGGCATCATATCTTGTTCATCTTCAACTGGTTGTGGTGACTGAGCAACTGATAATCGAAAGTGATTAGTAAAAGGGACACTCACTAGTAGGGCATTATTTATGCCAAAATGCTCTAAAACTTTCTTAACATAGCTTTCTTCAGTTAAGACCAACGTCTTTGTCCACGATCACATTGGATATCCATGCCAGAAGTTTTCTTTGTTGCTCCCAAATCCATAATTTCAAATTCACTAGTAAGCTGCAACTTTAAAGATTGAATTTCGGACATATTCTTGGCAGAAATAAGCATATCATCAACATACAACAATAGATGGATGCGAGTACCGTCAGCTAACTTTAAAAAATAAACACAACTATCATAAGTACTTCTCAAATTTTCATTACTCAACATAAAAGAGTCAAACCTCTTATACCACTGCTTCAGAGACTACTTCAGTCCATATAAGGATTTCTTTAGTAAACAGACATTGTCTTCCTTTCCTATGATTTCAAAACTTTGAGGTTGCTTTAAGTAGATATCTTCTTCAAGTTCTCCATACAGAAAGGTTTTCTTAACATTCATCTGTTCTAACTCAAAATCCTCAATGGCAACCAAAGCAAGCAAAATACGAATAGAGCTATATTTGACAACATGTGAGAAAACATCATTATAATCAACATAATGTAACTGAATATTGCCTTTTGCAACCAACCAACCGTCCTTTATATCGTACGTCATCACCCCCTGTAATGTCTTCCTTTTTCTTGAAGACCAATTTGTTTCCAATAATTCTCTTATCTGATAGTGGTTTCATAAGAACCTAAGTATTATTCTTGTAGAATGACTCAACTTCTTCATTCTTCACCGCTATCCACTTAACAGAATCATCGCGCTAAATTGTGTTTGAATATGTGGATGGCTCACTGTCTCCACCTATTTCTTCTGCAACAGACAATGCATATGCGAAAAAATTTGTATACCGTTGTGGAGGTCGAGTGTCTCTGCACTATCTTCTAGTGGCTATGGAATATGGCTTTTCTTCTGAACTTGTAATATCAACTAATGTCTACTAAATAAAAGAGTCTGACTGAGGGGTCTAGAACAACCAATTTGAACTCTACTTGCTTCTATGTATTCTCTCATGAACTCAAAGGCTCCTTGTAGACAACATGGCCATTTCATCAAAGGTAACATCTCTACTGATTCTAAACATAATCAGCAGGGGTACCTGACCAAACTTCTTCAAGATTTTATAACTTTATAGCAGAATTTGGAAAACGATTGACAATGTAGGCAGCCATGTTGATTGCTTATCAACCTGATTGTGCGATTCCGAACAAGTCTTCTCTCTTGCAAAATTCAATGAGCTCCCATCCACAAAATTCCAAGTTGTTATCGGTTCTCAGCCGCTTGATTTTTATCATGTTTGTTTTTCAATAAAAAATTTTCACAATTTGAAAGTTAGAAAAACATCATTCTTATTTTTCAAAAAGTATACCCAAACCTTTCTTGAGTAGTCATCAATAAAAGTCAGCATATAATTGGCACCACATTTAGATGAAACACAAGATGGACCCCAAAGATCAGAGTAGATATAGTCAAATGGTACATTTCGTCTTGTGAACTGCTGGTGACTTAAAACTCACTCTTTTCTACTTTCCAAATGCACAATGCTTACAAAAATCCAATGATGCAGTACTTTGTCCACAAAGAAGTCATCTGCTGCTTAAGATTCTCAGGCCCTTTTCACTCATATGCCCCAGACGCATACGCGATAACTTGGTGATATCAGATTCAACCAAAGAGGATGATGAAACAGATGCATGCCTAGTGACAATCGCCCCCTGCAAAGTATACAAGCTGCCAGATTGGATAACTTTTATAATAACGAGAGCACCTTTGAAAATCTTCAGAATACTATTTTGACTCGTGTACATGCAACCAAGTGCCTCAAGTGTGCCCAAAGAGATGAGATTCTTTTTCAGATCAGGGACATGTCTAAAATTAGCGAGTTTTCTCACAATTCCATCATACATTTTGATACGAATCGTGCCCTTACCCACAACATTGCAAACGGCGTTGTTGCCTATTGACAGTTCCCCCGTTTTCTGAATTATAAGTAACAAACAAATCCCTATTGGACACATGTGATAAGTGCACCCTTTATCCAAGATCCACTCATCTGTACATCGCACCCTATCATGAGTGACAAGAAAAACACTACTCTCACTATCATCAACAACAACACTAGCTTCAGAGGTGTTATATTTCTTTTAAACCGATTTTCCCTTTTGCTTGTTTTTCAATTTAAAGCAATCAACTTTAATGTGCCCCATTTTATGACAATAGTTACACTTTTTATATTTTGATGTCTAGACTTTGATCTATATTTACTATTGCCATAGTTTCTCTTATCCGATCTCTCTCTAACAACTAGACTCTCATCATTAACCCCAATATTTTCTCCAGTGATATCTCTATCTATCTGCTCCATATATTTCAAAGCAGACTTGATTTCTTGATAAGAGAAAAATTATTTCCCATAAATCATAGTATCATGAAAATTCTTAAATGATTGGGGTAATGGGGCACAAAAGTAGCAATGTCTTATCCTCATCATCTATCTTAGTATCAATATTTTCCAAATCCATAATAGTTGAATTAAAATTATCAAGATGGGAGAGTAATGATGTACTTTCCGCCATTCAAAGCATATAAAGGCTTTGCTTTAGGTAGAGAAGATTCTCAATAGACTTCTTCATGTACAAAGCTTTAAACTTATCCCATATTGCCCTAGTTGAGGTCTCCGTAGCAACTTCCCACAAAACCTCATCAGAGATATTTAAGATAATGCTCGAACGGACCTTCTTATCCAGCTCAAAAAATATGGACTTCTCCATATCCTTGGGCATGTTTTTAATACCCTGAATAGCCAAATCGACTTCTTGGACCAAAATGACCTTCATTTTGAGCTGTCACATCCCAAAATTGACATTTCTGTCACAATTCTCCACTACCGTCCTTGTGATTGTCATTGCATGGTAACAAAAGATTCCAAAAAATATAACAAGGGCTCTAATACTAATTTGTTATAAATATGGCCTAAACAAATATTTGCAAAATCTTAACAATGACAAAAATAAGATGCTAATATAGTGGTTCGGTCAATATGACCTACATCCACGGGCAAAGACAAAACAAATTCTTACTATAAAAAAAGAATACAAAATATGCTTGAATAACAATTCTAAAGCCCTCAACTTTTAATTTTCCAAAAGCTCTCCATGAAAAACAAGTAAGCCCCAACTAAATATGGGAATACTACTTGTCAATTTATGGTGTGTCATACAAATCCAACCCAAAGCTACCAATTTATAGAGAAAAACTTATAGAAAATTTGTCACCACAAGTAACTGGGAAAACAATTTCTCTCAATTTTAAAACACTCCAATGCGGGACAAAGCCACTTAACATGTTATTTAACCCTACCCTAAATATTCTAAGTAAAAATATACAAATATGGGTATTAACGGT